AAAAAAAAAGAAAAAAATTAAATTTCTCCACCGTCCCCCTGCCATAACCAAAGAGTAAAATGCCCCAAACAACAAAATTATAATGATGCAGACTCTAGATGAAACAAAGCTGTTGGGTTTACCTCCTAGTTTTTATCATTATACAAAAAGAATTCTACCACGCTCTCCAATACAGACATGTGTTGGGAAGACGCCTGCTCCCTTAACAGAAAGATGATAGTAATAAATATGATTGAATTGCTCTCCTCTCTCCAGTATTTCCATATTATTAAATAATTTTATGAGCATTTTCAAAATACTGAGTAGGCTACGTTACTGTTTATCTGAGTTTTGGTATTCTGGCAGTCCCTCGTGCAGTGGGTCCTGTGCCCCCAATCTCATGACAGCCATGAGATCCCTGTGGCAGGAAGCGGCCTACGATTCTGCGTGAGTCATGGTCCTGCAGTGATCCCAGACTGAGGTACAGAGCTACTCACGGCACACGGGAGACTTTTTTTTTCCATTATTTTATTTCTTGAGTATCAGTTCAAAGTCTTGAAATTGCTATCTGAGAAAGTCTGCCTCAAGGGGATGTAGTCTTTATTTTTCTTTTGGTAACTATAGAATTTCCATCTAATTTAGAGTGGCAACAACTATTGTGGTATTTGGGGAGGGCAGGTCCATGTAATCTTTGTTCTAAATTTATGGATGGCTAGTAAAAATATGAATTTACCATGACACTTCTTTGAAGTATTCAGATTTATAAGCATGAATCTGACACTTTCACTCAATAGCTACACAGAACTGCAAGAGGCCATATAATTTGTTGAAAAGTGTACTAAAAAAATTTGCTGGATTTTGTGTTTGAGTTGAACACCTTTCAAACCAAGGATGAATAATTTTTTAAAAAAGAATTAACTTTATTTTAATTTGACCAGAGAGGGACAAGAATGAGAGAGGGAAAGTGAGACAGCAAACCGCCAAGCCCAGGACCTGAACCACAGTCGACCATGTGCGAGTCCAGCACCTTAACCACCATGCCACCTGCAGGCCCCTGAGGGGAATAATTTTTGACGGGGAACCTTCAGTTCTAAATTCAAATTATTCATTAGAATTGTTCTGAAGAGCCCTGCTAACATAGCTCATGTGTACTCAGCTGCCTCAAATCCAATGAGCTTCATGATTCTAAATGTATTTTACTGAATTGCCATTTGGAGATATAAAACAAAAGTCTTAATAGATGATAAAAAGAAAATGCTCACTCCGAATTTTAGTGGCCATTCTTGACCAAGATCACTGAGAAATGCAAGTCCTGACTGTAATCATTAGGCAGGCAGCGCCCTGCCCCTTTTTTCTCCTGAATTTGTTCACCTTCATAAACACAAAAATTTAACATTGTTAATACATGTCCAAAGAATATCTTAAATTATTCACTCAGTGCCACTGGAAACACGCACGCGCAGGATCACACACTGGCCTCTGTCTTACAAGCAGAAACCAGGTAAGTGACTTTAGGGCAGCTGCCGAGCAGAGTATCAAGAAATTGGATCTAGAGGAGAATTCCAATTACCTAATGAGAGTGATCGGCTTTCACTCTAATTTCTTTGTCCATCTAATTCATTATAATAATCTCTATTATAAAAATCATGGCTTCATATCTGAATTTAAAATAAAAACACATATTCAGCTTGCCAATGTCTTCACCTTCTTTTGAGGAGACAGGAATTTGAATTCACAAAGACAAACGTAAAGCCCTAAGATGAAACAGTAACAAAGAACACTCCAAAGGACCCCGACCGCTTTGTTGGTGTGTGGCCTAACAGAGACAGAAAGCGCACCTGCTGGTTAAGGAGAGAGTGCTATCAGTGTTATTATCCTAACCCCAGCACGGTCCCCGGCAGCTGTTCGGCCCGAGTTATTATTATTAATAACTTCGCAGTCAGCCTGTGACGGCCGGGCGAGCCCGCAGGGCCAGGCCCTCTGTCCGCCGGG